GCTGTAGACAGTGCTGGCTTCGCTCCTTCCTTTCCTCAGTCAGTGATCTTCTCACTAGACTGAGGTATGTTCATCTTCTATTCCCATACTATACTGTACTCATATGGTTCTTAGAGTCCTCTGTACAGGTATAGTCCTAATACAGTCAGTGATCTTCCCACTAGACTGAGAGTCCTCTGTACAGGATCTCTTAAATACCGTGGTGCTCGTCCGACCTTGGTATTGAAACCATATTCTGAGTGCGAAGTCGTTTATAACGCATGGAAAACTCACAAAGAACTTCAGGATAAGACTGGCAGTAGGATATAGCCGGAAGTAGCGATATCTCTGATGAGTGGTTAATCCGAAGAGCCTCAAATGTAAGTCAGCATTGGGGACACAGATGGAAGATGATAATATACTCACATGCATCCAAAGCAGGTGCAGACAAGTACCACGCCCAAAGTGTCGTTGAGTCCAAGGGCGTTCGAAAGAGGGGCTGCCATTGCCCCAGGATCAGTAGTATTTGCGCTCACCATCGATTCCTAGTGAGCTGCAGACTGTGAACCCCTTATGAAGGAAACGAGACAGGTGACAAAAGAGAGCGGGAGGTGACAGGATATGTATTATCTTACGAACAAGCAAGGGGGGAGTGATGAACCCGGAAACGGGATGATGTAACGAGCCAAAGTGCGGGTCTCCGATAGCAATAGCAACATAGGGTTGAAGTTCACCATTTTGGCGCGCCGCAGTCGGAAAGGCTGGTATTGGTGAGCTGATAATAGGCCACCGGTAACTGCTCCCGCGTATCATCGTCGAAACTTCGGCGGCCTGGACAACGAGAGATGGGCGACTCGGAAGCGTCTATGTAGGGCGTCGGGGTACACGAATGATCCTCAGGCGGTGTATCAAGGCGTGGAAAGTTATGCACGGTCTGCATGTTTGAGTGTGCCCACGGAAGACATTGTGTGCGATATTGGTATCCACAAGGCGGTGCATGCCATGTGGTCTGACCTGCCAGTGGAAGCGTCCCAAATTACAGCAAGCAATATGTCACATCTGAACAAGCCGTCCGAGTCGCCAACAGTACATTGAGTGGCCAGGTAGTCGCGTGGAGTGTTCTCCAAGGAGATACTTTTTCCCTTGCAAGGAAAATCAAGAATATGCTCACCATGTCAGAGAAGTTGAAGAGGATCATGTCTGAACATGCCTGTCTAGGGACCTTCTTCCCATAAGTTCGCCTTTGCTAAGGCACGGTTTCCGAGTGGAACTTATAGGTGGCGAGTGGGACTATGGCAGCTTCTCCGGCTTGATCGCCCCCATACTGTCGGTGGCCGCTCACTCTAGACCCACGTATCTCACGATTCAAGCAGGTGAACAGCATTACTCGTTCGCCCCAATCTTCCCGTTGGTTCCCACGACCATCTACACTGGTGTCGAATTGGCTATGGCCAGTTTCAGAATTGGCTGAAGAGTGCTATCTCCCAAGTACGTCCATGATCTCAGCTGCGCTCAAAAGTGATCCAACCTCTCGCTCGGGTACTTGAGTATTGACTTCAGGAAGCCCCATGCCGGGGCCACCGAGCTGGCATATCGACGGGAAGTAAGGTTCTAGGTTTGATAGTCCGAGAAGTAGTGCAGGACAGCTTTTTCGTTGCGTGGTGTCCTGCGAAATCGACCCTGGACTAGGAATGATGCATTCTGAGGTGCTATGGAAACCTAAATCTCGCCCCGCACAAACGGTGTGTCTTGAAGCACAGAGGACTGGCATCTCGGACACAGAAACCTCTCAGGAGAATCGCAAATTGATAGATATGGATTCCTGAAACTCCGTGGGTTAGTCGGCTGAGGGTCGATTAACAAGGTTTCTTGCCGGGAGGCGTGCGTACGGGTGGAGCGCTCCGATATAGACCGTCCCGGAGAGGTTTGGCTGTCTATTGTTGGCGACTCCCCAGAGCTCGATTAGCGACGGAGTTCATGCAGCCACGGCGGACAATCCTCTTGTGCAGATCCCCTGTTGTGGCAGGTAAACAATCAGTCCATCATCCAACGAACGTTCAGCGCCGCCTGGCACCGCAACGTCAGTAGGGGTGCTCAATTCTTGTCCGGCCACCCCACGCCCACGGCTGTAGGCGCTTATTTTGTTCCGCCTCGCGCTGGCCAAGGCACCAAATTTTCACACGGATCCTTGCTCACGTCACCTTCTCGTCCTAACGCGACGAATACGCTATAGCTCTCTGCCAATGGTAGACCCCTGGCAGAGCGTTGTCCAATTGTACCGTGCAACAACGCATGAGGTTTTCTGACGAGATGCTCCAAGCACGACTGCTCAACAGTAGCACGTATCGTACGAACAGTACTTGCCTTTCCTATCTCAATGTGGCGCAATCGCCTCTCCCCCCCTTTAGTCCTGCTCCACGCCCTCGCACAGATCCCGTAAATTCTGGCTGCGGCAAACTCGTTCTGCACTATCTTTTGTTCCCTGTGGCTACGCGAGAGTTGTGACTTACCCTCAATGCAGCAACGGAACTTTGTTATTTGAGCCAGGCCTCCAGTTGTCCCAAGCTCGAGATACGCGTCTATAACCATCATGGATGTCCCTATCAGTGTTCTGCCCGCTCTCACTACCAGTGCCAGCTGGTGGACCTCTTTGGGGAGAAGCATGGACGTACAAGGGCTTTACCAGCTGTTACCTTCGATCTCTTCATGAGGTGCGTACTACTTTCCGTTTGAGCACCGACCTGCAAGCGCTGACGGCTACGTTTGCAGTGACCCGAGATCCACTCTGGTGTGCACGCCCTATGTAATCCATGATTCTCATAGCCAAAACCTCCCGAAGGCTTCTCCTTGATAACCTCACTAATCGTCGAGGGTCTGTGAGGATGACAACCTACTCTCCAAGCTCCCATATCCGCGTGCGTCTCTGACTGCACCTCGGACGGGCCGCGTTCCAGAATCTTCTCTCGTTTTACGAGCGGATCCTACTATGTCTTGGCGATTGGCTCCCAGGAATGGTGCTCCCTCGTTCCGTCGCGCGTTCATACTCATCTTCTCACGGGCGATTGGTGTGCAAATGGCGCACCGACTTTCACCTTGATGTACTCCCGCTGCTCTCGAGTCGTATATCAAGCTCTTGTTTAGAAGAGACCAGAGGAGCCATTAAGTAGCACTTGTGTACGCCTATGCTGTTAGCGCTGAAGAGCGTCGCCGACACGAATGGAGCGAAGCATAGGGCCCGGAGCGTGATGCTACTTGCGGTCGTGCTGTTCAGTTGCGTTTGTTCATTGTTCGGTGTTAATCGTGGGTTCCTACCAATGGTCTAGGGCTGTCTCGGTCTCGGTCCTCTGTAGGTTGCTTATGCTTTCCATCCATCACGCGTTTTAGCGGGTCAATGTTGCTTATCTTTACCATCAACCAACCTTCCCTGCATACGACTGCGGGAGCATTTCCATGACGCCCTAGCATCTCTTGAGCTACTAGAGAGCAGCCAGTACTTGAGTACCGCACCCTTCGTCGACTGTAGTGACAAGCTCAACAAGGGCACGTAGGAGCTCGAGCGGCCTGTAATTCTTGCACTTCAGTTAAACTAATATACGACATGTAGTATACAGGTTTTATACGTAAGAGAAAGGTAGTAGAGAGTAGGTGCCCTGTATGTGCATACTTGCGCGTACGATAAGCAGCGATGAAGATAGACAAGGATGCAGAAACGACTACAAAAGGACAATCCGATCCCAAAACCGGTGTATTACAGTACGCACGAATAGAGTACCATGAAGCGGGCGAGCAGTGTTCAGGTGGGTGGAGACGATAACTGTCAGATTCAATGGAGATAATACGGTGCCCATCACGTGCAGGGAGATACGCCGTGGAGATGTCATCGCATGTTATCTTGGGATTGGGGATGTTGAGCATGTCGCTCCGACATGTGTGTCGTACCCATGCTTGTCGGCCAGGGCTTGTGCGACGCGGCCATTGGCGACTGAGGAACGATGTTGTTGGGCGTGCCGATCGTTAGGCTGGGTACGACCCGGATTGAATGCTTCTGGGGCAGGGTTGTCGGAAAGTCGCAGGCCCACATCAGCCAGGCCACATGAATGTTGGCATGGACGACTCGGGAGTGTGGGACGAGGAGAAAACAGAGTACGGTGGGAGCCCTGTCTGCGTGCGCGGGTGGAGTCGACAGTATATGCTGCTGATGTACAGCGAATGTGATAGATAGGTGATGAACAGACTGTCCGGGCGTTATGAGATCCGTCGTGGAGGGAGGCGAATAAGGGCGTGGATGTTGGCTTAGCAGAACAGACTTGTTTAGCTTCGAGCTTCTCCACAGAGGCTTTCCCCGATGAAGCTGGGAGTGCCAAGGCATGCACGATGTCTGAAACATGCGACAGTGGCATGCACGCCGAGCATCCAGAGTGAGGGATCAATGTTCGAGAGACAAGGGAATTTGCGTTCAGGGAAACCCAGGTTGGGCCGGACGACTTTGACTTTACGTTGAATAGCCGACTGTCCCTCTGGCACGACCCGGAGCGAACAGCTCCCGCACATCAGGCGCGTGTGGAATGCGGGGAGTAAGGCGAGGATGACACCAAAGCAGGGCACCCCACGGACACAGCGATAGGATAGCGAATCGGTTACGGTTGATGAATGGACGGGGTTTGCTACTGTATGATTACGAAAAAATAACTGACAATCACTCGCGTGGATGGGCTGGGCATGAAATAGACCGCGCCCGAACTATCCAGTAACGACGTACCTCGTCAAGACAATGAATAGCGCTGTCGATCTCTCCAACTCCAAACACCAAGCCGCCAGCATTACTACGTTGACCCTTCACGTGATTGACGTCTTCGACGACCAGGGTATCGTGGGTCGTGAGGTGCTGCCAGGCAGGACACTGACGAAACGAAGACGATAAGCGCCAAGGCCAGACAGCTAGCCGAACTGTACAAGACGCGGGTAGACTCACAACCGTCGAGGCCATAGCTCAAGTGTCGACGGAACCGGTGTGACCGATCTTAGATGTGGACAGTGAGATGCAGTAGATTCACACGCCAAGTAGTAGAGACGTTCGTTTTGGCGAGCTCTGCACCAACGTACTCGTGTCAGTGTTAGACCCAGTAACCCAAGAGGCTTCTCCGTACCGCGCAGCTGCTCGTCCGTGGTAATGTTGACGCGAGGAATCAGGTCCGCTTCGCTGACCTCCTTCCAAGGCCCATCCTGCATAACCTTGCAGATGAACTTGGCGGGCCCAAGAAGAATTGATCTCGGAGTCAATGTCTCCCGCGAGGTAGTTCGGCTCGATCGTTGGCTGGACCTTAGGGTCACTCGAGCTGGCGTGTTAAGAGGGATGCATCAGTTCGCATGCATTGCAGGAAGAAGGAAACGCGAATGACATTGGTTCCTCGAGATAATGGGTGACCGATCGAGGGAAGGAGGCCGATGTGCGGCTTCGGGGCGCCTGACAACGCTCTGAGCACAACTGGGAGTTCAGCCGCATTGTGTGAAAGACACACCTGCAGGATGCACGTTGACGGGGAAGACGACGATCTCGAGGTCGAGCACTTTCTTGTCATTGAGCAACTTCAGGTGCAGCTCGTACTGCTCCTTCGAACCCGGCGACAGTTTGTCCGTGGTCCGCTTGATCCTCTTCTCGACCTTCTCAATCAGCTCATCCGCCCGTTCGGTAATCGTGTGGAGCGATAGGAAGGCAACGCCGGTGCAGGCAAGTGAAAGGGGACCAGCTGCTTCTATGCTACGCACGAAGCTCAGAGCACGTTGCAGAGACTTGTAGTACGTACGTACTAGATGCTCCGGAGCTCTGTCTGCACTTCTGGCGACGTAATGGTCTCACTTGTGACAAAACCGTGCTCCACCTTCGTCTCTGCGGAGTTCTCAGGATTTACTTGAAACGAAAATTGTTGTAAGTACTGAAGACGCAGCTGGTGAAGATCAGATGGTCTTGCAGATTCTCACCAAGAGATGCACAGGGATGCCGAGATCTTCCAATACGTTGCAATTCCCGATGCCGTTCAGCCCGACGATATGTGGGGACTTGCTCGTGCTGCAGAAGATGGCCATGAGACAAGGTGGTGCATCGAGCGTGATGTGATCTCACATACCACCCGCACAGAATCACTCTGTTGGCAGCATGAACAACATGCACGTCTCCGCCATACTCGAATTCGACGCCGGTAGCGATGACATCATCGCCGTCCTGTTTAGTCAGGATACGGTTGACGTACGCGGTGGTAAACACCTTCAAGTTCGGAGGGTCAAGCGCTGGAACGATGTAGTCCTGGGTTCTCCAAATGAGTCACGCTTTCGCATAACGAAAGAGCGAAGGTCACCGTCGCTGCGGTGCTACGAGCGCCTGTTTTAGGGTCGATGTTCGCAGTAGCTTTGAAGGTACCTGTAGGCTGTATGTCCGTTCCACACGTAGAGTCGACCGTCCACTGAAACCATGGTACGTACCGAACCTCCGAGCTGGAAGGACAGACACTGATGTGAGACGTGCCAACCGACGGTACCATAGGAGACGTACTTACTCTATCATCGATCGTCTCAATGTCATGTGCGTCCACAGAGAAGCATCGAGCTCCGTGATCACAGCACGAAGTTCACGACGTCACCACACCTTCTGGAAGTATAGCTCAAAACAGGAGAGGGCCCTGCAGAACAGATTAGAACAGGTCCTGCAACATGTCAGCTTACAGTATCATTCGCGATGGCGGAAAGTCGACTTACTAGCGTGACCCACAGAGTCCTTGTTGGAAAGTTCACGAAACTCCGGATAGTTGTTTGCAGGTGACAGAAGGAAGCTACGACAGACGCGAGCAAAGATAAGAGCAATAAAACGAGAACGGTATACGTCTCAGCTCTCTTCGCCGCCGCAAAGCAGCGTTCCCAGTTCAACCAGCCCAGGTTCCCAAGCGCTCCCACGGCTGCGGACGATATGAGACGAAGGAAACCTGTAGCACGAATTGTCGCACATACCGTCAACCGCTTCACGCTGCGGCATGTTCATCGCATGTTTAATAGAGGGAAGGGTGTGTGCGGCAGCTCTGTCCTCAACTTCCTATTCTGGATGAGACCAGGCTTGGTACCTAACGCGGAAACGGAGAGACTGACCGGGACCAGAAGAAGCTCTTCTCGGAACCACCGCTGGGCGTAGTGATATCAAGGACGGTTTCTGTTGCCTGATTGTGCGGAACACCCAGTCATACTCGGGGATGAAGACCTGCCATCGGGCAAAGCTGCAAGGGCGAGCACAATGTGACATGTCTCAAAAGCAAGGCACACTTGCGGAACGAGGAGCCCGTCTAAGGGAGGATTTACGGCCCCAAAGAGTGCTCAAGCCTCGAATTGAGACTTTCGGGTTCTTCGACAGCGTCGACACAGCAGCACATCCTGAGAACTAGTGTGCAGTAGCAATTGCACGCCGGTGGCGGCATTATCAGCATTGCCCAGAGAGGTTGAAGAGATAAGCAACGGGCTAACCAGCTACAACGAATTCATAGGGCTCCTGTGCGTCGTGGCCGCTCTCTTGCGAGAATCTCTGTTCCATGATGCATATCGTGATGTTCGAGTTGAATCGGAGGATTTAGACTCGCGAGGACTATCGAAGGTGCGCCAAGCAAATCCGCGCGAATCGGTCTTCAGTCCGCGCGAGGTAGGACGCTGACTGGAAACTGATGAGATGCCAGCAGTTAGCGTCGTGACAGCCATCTATAGCACGCATTCGACACACTTGAGATACCGGCTTCTTCTGCCTTGTCCCACTGCCATCGTCTGTGATTGGCTTCAATGGTCCTTGAGACTCTGATGGGCTCCAATGTCGACCGCTCTCATTCTATTCGAAAAGTCAGCGATAGGCATCATAAGAGCTGTTTCTAGGGCCGTAGCTGTTGGACGGCAGAGGACCACGGGGCGACGTGGCTGCGTAGGCTTGACAAGGTCAACCCGGAACCGACCTTACCCGCGCACGACGATCACGTGTTATTTTTCAACTGATATTCATAGCAATGTACCTGGTAAGCACTCGTCCGTCTGCTCCCTGTGCTCCCCCTTCACTTCTTGGTCCCTAAGTGGCGTGTCTCCTCGCTGTAACGACTGCCCCTCTATGCTCTCTGGAACGTGTCACGTCTCGGCACCGTCTTGCTCCATCGCTTGTCTCCATCTGCCCTCAATCTACGACTGCCGGTGCTATAGCCACATCCTCATGAATATTCTTGTGAGGTCCTTCAGTACGTTCTCAGTCTTCCTCATCTCCGTCTCTCTTCCTGTCCATTCTCCTTGCCACTTCCCTTCCATTCGCCACACGACCGCGCGGCTGTGACTGCCCCTCCCCGCGCGGTCGTCTTCTTCAGTCGCGCAGGTTGTTCGCTACGTCACACGAGCTTCCTGCCGATGCGAGTTATAGTTCCATTCATGAATCTCTCTTATCCTTCTGATAGTCCTTTTTTACTACGCTCATCTTGGCTCTATGGCGCCTTCGCTCTTGCTTCGGGACTTTGCTGGCAACTGGTATGCCCTTCCTTGTGCACCACGATGAGCCTCACTGGACGCCGTCTCGCCATCAGCAACGTCGTTGACGGCCACCGACGGTAAGCTTCATCTCAATCCCGCGCCATAGCCGACATGTACCTCGACTCTGCTATCCGCGGCTTTTGCACCCCTTCCCGCCCGCATCTCCGGAGAAGGTTTGCCGAATTCTTCTTGTCGAGATGAATTTATGCTCACGCCCGTTCTACAGACTTAGTCGACGCATCCTTGAACACTTCGATATTGTCTTTGCGTGCCGTCTGTTAGCACGCGTCATAATTGATGCGTCGTGCTTCTCCACACATCCCTCTCGACGCGTGCTACTAGCGGCATTCTCCTTTGCGCGCCTACCAAGTCCTGGCGGATTCTGCTCTCCTACGTGCGCTGAACGTCATCCGTGATTCACATAGCCTCTGAGGCACTCCCTCGGTGAGTTTTTGCATTCCTGCCATGCTTTTTGTTTCTTGGCTGCGTCGCTTTCCTCCCTCCCAACGTTGTCCCCTACTGGTTAGATTCCCTCTCGTCCTAAGCTTGGCGTGTGTGTTCCTTATTCCAATGCTCTTGGCTGCCTCGTCGCACTTCATTTCGTCTGCCCTCCCCACACATCGCGGCGTGGGTCAAAGCACTGAGGTCCGACCGTCCAGTCGAGATTCATCGCAGCAGCAGAGCGTCGCTTCTCCGCCCCGTTTGCGAGCGTCGTCCCCAGCAGGCAGGCCGGTGTAGTGCGGGGTCTCAAGCGTCAGACAAGATTCTGAGCAGGACCCTTTGTTGGGTGAAGTGCGCCCTAGAAAGCGATGCTGTCGAACAAGAATGTTATGGTGCGTACCTTGTTGGAGTCCTCCGCAGAGGTGGATTGGGTCGGCCGACGGCCCGCATATCTTCGCGCTGTATCCCAGCGAGTATCTTCAGAGGATCTTTGACCGCCATCCGATGGTCATGGTGTTGAGCCAGACCATCGCCGATCGCCTTTCGAATGTTGCCTTGAAGACCCGGTTGCTCAAGCAGGAGCTGCGCGTCTGCAGACCATCATGACGACCACTACGGGAGTTCTGTCTGCTATCGACGGGGCGGATGCTCGCAGCGCGCTGTTCTCTTCTATTGTTTGGGAGCCGCTGGGTAAGAAGAGAGCATTCGATCGATCCGCTCGTGTTGTTCCTGCCGAAGACAGTCGCGGGCCCGCATAGTATGGTTCGTGAGTGCTATTTCGAATGTATCTCACGTCCTTCATCCAGATTATGTTCCAAAACTCAAGAATCTCTACGTGGAACACATCTATGGGTGGGGGCCGATTCTACGCGGATCGACAAGGCACGACCTCTGAATAAGCTCTGTTCGTCGGGGCGACGACGCTGAGCTGCTCCGGTGCTGGTCTGATGCGGGCTTTCAACATTTTCGTACTATGCTTCATGCAATCACGCGGCGTGACGGATATCGCGTTCTCTCAGGTCCAAGCCATTGGTCAGACGATCCTAGGGGTGCCACGTTCCACACTTGCTCCATGTCCTTCCTCGACATACCAACTCATCCCTTCGCACTGTCTGCCCGTCCTACTCGAGATCATGTATAGCAAGACAGTCGTGATGTAACCCAAGACAATATACGTCGTCGCCAACAGCATCATATTCGCCTCCGTTGTTGTCGTGCTGCTGTTCCGCTCGGGCGTGCTATTCAAGCCCGCGTGCAAAGGCAAGCTCGGCCCGGTGGAGGCGCGCCTGGAGCCGACGTAAGACACTTCGTCCCATTCTTTTGTGATCTTCTGCATTCTACTTAACGTTCACTTCTCTCTCCCGATAGAGAAAGATGGAATAACTGCATCGCCGACTGGCTTCTTTGGTCTCTTTATATGATGTATACCAGAAGTCGTGTTTCAACTTTCAGGCGCGCGCGGGCGCGTCAGGAGATGGACGATTGTGGATGTAGGCTGCGTATACCAAGTATTGCATCTGATTGAATGCCCCCCCTCCCCCGGGTGCATTGAATTGATCTTCGACAATGGTGACCGCAGAGGCGATGTTCAGTGACACTGATATCCTGAGCACAGCCATCACGGCAGTCTAACGCACGCCCCACAGTGCTAGCACAAGTGGAAAGCACCGCCCCTCTCATCAAATGTGGCTTGTAGGTTTTGTTTCACGTCGTGTCCTGTGGGTCGTGTAGAGATTGTGCTATGTGACTTGTCGGGCTGTGTGGGTCAGTGAGCTGAATCGATCGGTTTATCAAAGATACTATCTGCCATATGACGCTGGTCGTGCATTCATCTTAGCTCTACATTGGGAGATCTGCATACTCCGGTCTCACAGCTTGACATAGAGTATCCTTGGAAGCCACGAGTCCACCACTTCAGTATCGTAGGCTTCAGCGGATGAGAAGCGTTCATGGTGATGACTCGGATCAAGGAACAGCCAATGCTATTCTCGTCAGACCTCCCCTGGGCGATTGGGGTCCACGCATCATCGATCATTCGCGCTCGAAGCCTTCCTGACCTTCGATCTGCTGATTGAGATGCCCCCCCACCCGCAGAAGGGGAAATATTCCTTGATATCTACCCCTCTCCCGAGCCGTTGACTGCTCACAACGGTGTATGTGGGGTGCACGAATGCCTCCGCGAGCTGCTGGTTGAGGTCACCATATGTGCAAAGTTAGTAGTAGCTCCTACTTGACCCAATCTCTCGAGTGATCTGTCAATGATCTTCAGTCTCCCCTATCTAGTGCTACGTCTGTGGGCGTACTTGGGCAGCGCACATTGCCATCTCGTGCGACGGATTCAAGAAGTAGGTTCTCGTGACGATCGCTGTTCACAGCCATGGCTCTTCGCCGAAACCCAATGTCATTTTGACTGATCGGCCATATTGAGGTTTGCCTATATATTTTTCTGGATCCAGCCAGCGTTGGTCCGCTATCCCTTTGCTATCCCTTTCTGTAACGCTCTCCAATCTCACTGCAGAATCAAGAGCACCAATGTCGTCTTCACCAACCGGAGATTCGTCTGGTCTTCCTGCACTACTTCTCAAGGTACCAGCTCTAGATAACACGTATGGTGCGGTCTTGATTGGCACTTTTGTTGCTCTAGTGTACATTCCGGTTTGTCTTCCTAGATCGCAATACTACTGCTAACTGAGTGGTGTAGACTTTATGGTTTGCAATTGCATCAGTCATATCGATATTTCCGCATGTACCCCGGGGATTCGGCTATCCTCAAAACTCTGGTACCGTCTATTTCTCCTTGTCTGCAATGTCCCACAAGTTGAATAGGACTCTCTTAGGTTGCTCTAGTCCTGTGCGTCATGATGTATATCGATCACTGAGTAGAGTTTTGAATTTGGAACAGTGTGCTCGAAACATTCAACGCTGTCCTTTGCACACATATCTGGTGAGGGCACTTCAGACTATACACAATTTACGCTTTCTTACGATGTTCTCAGTTACTTCTATTTGGTGTCTAGATACTTCGATCCCGTGGCTCTCCTCTTTGGAACGTGGTACGTCATGAGTCCAGATGTCGCTCCACTCGCGCCAGCTGGCTTACAGGTCATCAATCCAGGTCAATCAAGGCTAGTACCCATGTTGAGCTCCATCGTTCGACAAGTTTTGACTGGTGCTCCGCAGATTCTTCCGCTCATGGGTGTACGCTGAGCTTTCATAACTGCGGACATTGTCGTCTAACTCATCGGGGCAGGGATCAGCGATGATTGCTACACAGAGGTGAAACGCGACCTTATTCTAGCCAATTACCGTCTATCTTACTCATAAGCCAAATCAGCTTTTTCGTTCGCCGAGTCTATATTCGTGAGTGTCCACTTGAATCCAGCAGACACGGAAGTTGATAGGAGTCTAGTCGGCCGGGGTTATAGGATTCTGGTAGCTGTCGCAGTAAGTCTACAATGTCTCCGCTTTCAGAGCATGTCTCATGATCATGCAGGTGTTGTTTTGTACTGCTGAAATAGGTAGACACACCTACAGTCATACACCACTCCTTTTGACAGCACCACTCCTTTTGACAAAGACCGATCGCTGTTCCTCCTCTGTACCCCCTTCCTTTTTATGTTCATATTCCTATTCTTATACATCGTAGTTACATATCTACAAGTTTGGGGGCTTACTTCCCCTCGCGATGTTTTCATACAGAGGAATGATCACTCGAAATTGGCCAAATATGACTCACTCGCTAGATCTTGACCGCAGTGTAGTGATCATAAAAAATCGGAGACTTACAACACTGTCACTAGGTTCTTCTCATAACTTTGAGTATATTTGTAGCCTTATCGAGGGGAATGGAGTATCATAGATGAGACTGGCAACATGGTTGCCATTGCCATCAAACAGGTTGTCACACTGCCACATTGGGATACAATTTTGGGATGACCGACGTATGACCGAGAAGGCATATGTGCGAAGCGCCCTTCCAGCGCTTCATTCGCAATCTGCTCGCTCTGCACCTCATTGGACGAGGACAGATAATCTTTCCCCTTTTGGTAAGATCTCTAGCGTGATGTGACTGTCAAAAGGACTGCATATGGCCTGATAACGAATTCAGCGACAGATCGCCTCGGATCTCCTACATATCCACTACTCTACATACTAAAACTAGCATAGAACTATTGTAATGTGGTGCCCGAATGGATCTGCGAGACTGATTGAGTATTGCTACAGTAGATCTGAAGAAATCTGAGTCACATGTTTTTTCTGTCAAAAGGAGTGGTGTATTACTGTATATCTCCCTTTTGAAAATCTCTGCTCATGAGACGGCTCATCCAGGATTCTTCATCGGTAAGTGACTGGTACTGACACCGGTCCAACAATGTCGTCTGATCTATCCTTGCCGGTTTGATGGTACCAGCGGCCGCAGTTGAAGCGTGAGTGGTCCATTATAATGTTCCGGATCGTCTACAGAAGCCGAGATTCGAATATACAATATAGGTTCAAAATCCCAGACTTCGCAGGATTTGTTCATGTCACTGTAAGTGGACGGATCATATAGCGATAGATTCGTAATATATGGTGAACCTTGCAGTGGCTCGTATCCACCGGGTCCACCATGGCTGTCGTGGCAGACTTCCTCTTGACCGCAGTGCTAATTTATGTACTGCATCGCAGTCGCACTGGTGTGAAATGGTACGCAAAATATTCTTCCCATCTCAAGTTTGCTGATGACAGGAAGTCAGAACCGACTCCATGATCGATGTCATGATCATGTACTCCGTAAATACCGGTAAGTGGATGGACAGTCATCATCATTTGTTGACTTTGTATTAACGCTTTGCGGAAAGGTCTACTCACAGGGTAAGCCTCGAGTCTGCTTATTATGGCTGTTTTAACCGATCTTTTCAGACTTGGAAACTTGTTGTCTTTGTTCTTCGTAAGTACTTGCTGGTATGCGCAGTGGGTAGGTATATAGGGATAACCGTGACACACTATTGGCATATGCTGCGAGCAGGCTTTCCTTCACCCGGAAAACATGATCTGGATCGGTCTTGCCATCCCAGTGACCAAGGGTATGTCTCTTTTCATGCGCGAGAAACATGCTGCTGATTTCTCCCCACAGCATATGCTAATACATTGATGGCGGCGTAATGGAATTTTTCATGATATTGCATGCTACTTGACTAACCTCATATTCGGCTCAGGCTAAACTCCAGACGATCCTTGATCTCCAAGGGTTCCGGAGTGCTCACGGACACGTCGCCTTTTGGAGTTAGCGTCGTTCAATATAAACATTCTCATCAAAGTCCGGCAATTGTAGTCGAAAGAAGAGTTCATGTATTTGAAGCCACGGTGAGTGGTCATTCCGTCTGATATAGTTACTCTTCATGCATATCTGACATGTACGCATCAGACGGACACTCATTCGAGTGTCGTGGACATCACGAAGGAGGGGCCGTTGGCTGGCGGTGATGTTGTGGAGATGGTTGAACCCAGAGGTCATGGCGCGGTCTAGTTGCTTCTGGGGTGGAGCTGGATGTTCCCTCTGACGCGTCGAGCGGCTTCCTCTGGCCTGGGGTGCTCAGCCTGCTGGGCGTTGACAAGTCGTCAGGGTGATCGCCAACGAATTGGTATTCGATACTCTCTTGTAAGCATGCTATGCGCGTCCGAAACCCAATGTATTGTTTGTCCAAGCTGCATGACACTACTAGAGGGGGGCAGGTATTGGGGTAGTCCCGAGCGACCCCGAGGCGAATCTGGCCATGCTTGGCCACTGATAATCACCTCTGAACAGGTATCCAATACATGTCGATGGGCGTCGAAAGCAGTTCCCTCAGTAGACTTGGCCAGTGGCTTCAGAGCCAGGGGCGCTGCTTCTGTCATGCGATTTTGTCCCAACTGGGGACAAGACGGTTACAACGCTTCGGGTCAGCTCTCTTATGACATGCCCCCCTGAAATATATACAGGAGTACCATTCCTGTAATCGACGTCGGAAGGTAGTCCGATAGAGACTCCTCCTTTGATATATGGAGCTGAAGATGTCCGCTCTGACAAGGATCACCGTTCTTCGGTACGATGACCATCTCCCGTTGGTACTGCATGACCGGTTGCGTCCGCATATCTCTGTACATACGTCTCCGAGTAGAAGGCGCGTCACGTCAACGTGCCTTGCCACCTCTCCTAAGCCTTGCCTTTGCGCAGTCTGCGCCGGAATGGCAATATCTGAAGGCGCCCCCTTCGAGATACGCTGCTGCTGCTGCTGCTGCTGCTGCGATGGAAGCGGCTTGGGATTGTGCGTCTGAGGCTCGAGGCACACACTCACTTGTTCCGCGAAGTTGGTGTTTGTTAATTGTTTGGGGCGGCTTCGGGCCTATTACAGACCTCTACGCCTCGAACAGAATTAGGGCGGAGCTGCGCGGGGTTGTCAACCACGAAATCGTTAGCCGGCAACCTAGGCGTGAGGGCGGTGGTGCTGGTACAGAAGCAGGCGGGCATGCGGACGGTGACGGCGTGGGCTCGAATGCTGCCGCAGGGACTGGTTGCGGTACATGAGGGGGAAACAGGGATGACTGGCGGATGTCAATTGATGCGCTTTTGCATATGGAGTGAGTAAGGTTCACCAACGCTGCCGTACTACGAGTGCCTGTCCTACGATCGATTTTCGCAGGACATCCTGAGACCTAGTATGCAGTAGCAATCGCAAGCCAGTGGCGGCGTTATCAGCATTTCCCAGAGAGACTGAAGAGACAGGTAGCGGACTCACCAGATACAACGAGGTCATAGGGCCCCTGTGGGACGTGGCCCACTCTGGCGAAAGCCTCTGTTCCATGACGCATGTTCGTGATGTTCGAGGTCAATCGGAGGTTTTGGAACCTAATCAAGCCAATGCGCGCGAATCGGTCTTTAGTCCATGCGAGGGAGAACGCTGACTGGAATGCTGGTGAGATGCCAGCAGTAAGCGTCATAAGAGCAATATGATACAGCACGCATTCAAGACACACTCGAGATGCATGATCACGGCCCTTCAAATCCCGGCTTCGATGGTACTCGAGACTCTGATGAGTGTCGATTGCTCTCAACCTATGCGGTAAGCAGGCGATGACATATAAGAGGAACGCCTTGGCAAGTGGCGAGATGTAGCCCGCGCCGTACTTAGCCAGTGTTAGACGGAAGAGGACCGCGAGGCATTGACTCAGACGTGGCAAGGTTTGAAACGGCCCGACCACAGGCGATCACGTGTTTCTGTTCAAATGTACCCAGTAAGCGCTTGGTTCTTCGCCGGTCGAGCACTCGTCATTCTGCTCCCTGCGCTTCCTCCAGGATCCTCCTATCACTTCTCGATCCCGATGTGGCGTCTCCTCGCTTTACGACTGCCCCTCTACGGTTACTGCAACGTCGTGGCGCCGTCTTCAGCCCGTTTCTACTTAGTCATTGCTCTCAATCTACGACCGCCGACGTCAGTGATTCCTGTGAGTCCTTTGGTACTTTACCAGTCTTCCTCTGTCTCTGTTTCTGTTCATTCTCCTTGCCATTTCCCTTCCATTCACTGCAAGACCGCGCGGCTGTGACTGCCCCTCCCCGCGCGGCCATCTTCGGTCGTGTAGGTCGTTCGCAATGTTACACGACCTTCCTGCCGACGCTGCGAGTTATAGTTATATACATGCATCTTTCCTATTCTTCTGATACTCCTTCTGTTCTCCTTTACTACCCTTGTTCTGGCTATGTGACGCCTTCGCTCTGGCTTCCGACCTTTGCTAGGTGCTGGTCTGCTTCCTTGTGCACCACGAAGAGCCTTACTGGACGCCGTTTCGTTACTGGCGACGTCTTTGACGGCCACCCTTGCCCACGATGGTAAGCTTAAGCTTAATCCCACGTCACAACCCATCCCTACCTCTACTCTACATTCCGCAGCTCGCGTACTCATCTCCGCCCGCCTTTATGGAGAAGGTTCGCCGAATTCTCCTTGTCGAGGTGAATCTGTGCTCACGCCCACTCTACAGATTTAGTCTACCTATCTTAGAACACGTCAACGTCAATGCGTACTCGTCAAGCCGTGTGTTGGGACGCGTCATATTTGACGTGTCCGCTTTGATAGGTGCTTCCCTACATATTCCTCTCGACGCGTGCTGCTAGCGGCCTGCCTTGCGCGTGTTCAAGTTTTGGCCGACACCGCTCTGCCACGTCCGCTGAACATCGTCCTTGATTCACATAACCTGTCGATGCACACTGTCAGTGAGTATCCGCACCACTCCTCTTCTTTTTGGTTTCTTCGCTGCGTCGCTTTCCCCCGCCCAACATCGTTTTCTACCGGCTGGATTCCCTCTAGTCCTCAGTTTGGCGTATGTTGTCTGTGTTCTCAATGCTCTTGGCTACTTCGATGCAGTTCATTTCGCCTGCACTTCCCATAAAACGCGACGTGAATCAATGCACTGAGGGAAAGTCCAGTTGAGATTCATCGCAGTAGCAGAGCGTCGCCTCCCCGCACCGTTTGCGAGCATCGTCCCTAGCAGGCAGGCTGTTGTAGTGCGAGGTCTCGAGCATCATACAAGATGCTTAACAAAACCCTTCGTGCGTTGGAAGAAGTGCGCCCTAAGAAGCCATGCTATCGACCAAGACCACTATGATATGTCTGCAGCGTCGACGACCTTGATGGCGTCATCCGCAGAGGTGAGGCTGGTCGGCCGACCACCCGCGTCTAATCGCGTTGCACTGCACCCCGGCGAATATATCCAGAGGGTCTTACACCCTCAATTGACGACCATGTTGATGAGCCAGACCCTCGTCGACCGCCTTCCGAGCGTTATCTTGATCACTCAGCTGCCCGAGCCGGAGATACGTGTCTGCAGACCATCATGATGACCACTATGGGAGTTCTATCTGCTATCTGGTGGGGCGAATTTGGTGAGAGGTACGGACACACGAAGGTCCTAGCAGCTGCTATCTTGGCTCTCGATGTTCTACGTGGCTGCGGTCGCGTCGTTCATCATCTTGATGTTCGCGCTGTTGTCTTTTTTGGAGTCGCTGAGTGAGAAAAGAGCATTTGTTCATTTCGCTCGTACTGTTCCTGCCTCAGACATGCACGCGCACGGATAGTATGGTCCGTGACTGCGATTTCGACTCTATCTCACGTTCTCCATCTAGGTTATGTTCCCACCCAAGGACCTATACGCGAAACACACTGATGGGTGGGGGCCGAGGCGATGCAGTTCGACAAGGCACGTCCTCTGGATAAGCTCTGTTCGTCTACGCTTAGCTGTTCCTGATGCCGGCTGTCAACAGCCTCGCGCTATGCGTCATGCAATCGCACGGCGAGACCGATACAAGGAAGACGTTCGGCGCGTTCTCTCTGGTGCAAGCAACTGGTCAGACGATCCTAGGGGTGCATTCCAAACTTGCTCCAATCCTCCCTCGACATACTGACGCCTCCTTTCGCGCTGTCTAGCCCATCCTATGCGGGATCATCTTTAGTAAGGCGATCTCAACGTACCCCAAGACGATTTACGTCGTCGCAGACAGTGTGATGTTCGCCTCCATTGTCATTCTGCTGCTCCTCCGCACCGACGCGCTGATCAAGCCGGCTCGCCGCAAAGGCAAGCGGGTCTGCCTTGGTGCGGTGGAGGCGCGCGTCAAGCGGCCGCGGGGGACGGTCGAGGAGAATTGAGGATATAAGGCAGTCGAGGTTCAGCGGGTCGCCCTCCGAGGAGTCGCTTGCGTCGTCGCGCGTGCTCAAAGTCCCGCAGGGCGGACACTCGTATGAGGCGACGAGCTCTATCTCGGGTTCGGGCTCTGCGCATTTGACCGGGACGTCGTATCAGGGGACGTGAGGCGCTTCGTGGTGGCGCATTGGGAATATGCGTGAATTTCGTTTCGTCTCTTGAATAAATACAGGCATCTTCTCCCTTCTACTTGACTTTCACTTCCCTCTTACACATAGAACAGGGTAGCGGGACTACGTCGCCGACTCGTCCCTATATTTCCCTTATTCGATGCATGCTAGAATCGGTGTTCGCGGCTCATAGGCGTGTCGGTATCTGCACGGTCGTGGATGAAGGATGCGTATGCGGCAACATTGTGGTGTGTTTTAAAGATAGGTCGCATGGACCGAGTTCATCAAGCTTTGAGGACGCCTCGGGATCTCGCACACAGATGACAAGTAAGGGGTTCGTGAATACGGTCGCCAGCCTGTCCGTTTGACTGCAGATTTGGTTCAGCATGAGTGTAAGTGGCTTTGTGAAGATAGAGTTTAGCTCATGGCGAGGCCTAGGAGAACGTCCATATGAGGTGCGTAGGTGCCGGTGCGATATGAATCACCGTTCCTCGATGTCGGCCCCACGCAGCTTGATGCACAGTTGATTTGGCTCTGCATATGGATCAGGTTTGCGCATTCAACTCCCTGGTTCAGCTGGACAATCTCAGGAGGCAAGGCGCGAGGCGTGTGAGGCTGTGGCTATCTTCCCAGCGAAGCTCAGAGCACAGCCGGTACTGTTTTATTCTCATAGAATGGCTATGTGTGTTCGACGCCCGGAGAGCATCATGATTCGAGACCTTCCATACACTGGTGGAGATGGATAGTTTATAGCTAGCGCTCCCCCTGGGCTGCGGCCCTAACTCATCCCCTTACGAACAGAAGCCTGATCCTTGTCGAAGATTAAGGGATCGAGACAAACATAGGGCAGCGAGTTTCCTGCGTCTTCAAAGAAGAACTACCTCTACGCACGATGGGAGGTGATTACCGCCAGCGCCGCCCCGAACTCTTACAAATTGGCGTCCGCCTTGACAGATGGATGTTTGATCAAGTGACGACCACCAAACTCTATCTTCGACGAAGAAACCCTCGACACATCGCATGAAGGGCTGTTGCTGTACGCACCGAGAGTGCCTCTGTGCTCTATCTCCCTCAGAGAAAATGTCGTCTAATACTGTTGGGCCTCCTGTTTCTCTTCTGGCGGTGCCGTCGCTGGACAACACGTTTGGCGTTATACTGATTGGAACGTTCATTGGGCTCATGTATGGACGTTCCCACCATCAAATGACTTGGTAGACTCATTGAATACTTCTTTAGCATGTATGGGCTATCTCTATACCAGACATTTCGTTACTTCCGAGTGTATGTTGGGGATCCGCTCATCCTGAGATATACAGTACGTTGCAGTAATCTTCCTGTGCGGACACTTTGCTTTCGACTAATTTGCTTTCGAAAGATCATCTTCCTTGCGTCAGTCATGAGAGCTATGATTACTCGACAGGCTCCCGCGACCTAACAGTTCTGAAGTGTTCTAGATACAATGCATTCGGTTGCTTGCATGTATACATCGTGTGTGCTTTGCCCATCGACTCCTCCATCCCTCGATTGACTCCTCCAAGGTATTATTACGTTGTGACCAACTATTTCAATCCTGTGGCACTCTTGTCAGGGGTGTGGTCCATTCGGGTACGATTTGGCCTGAAGATGCTGTGCAGCATATTACTGAAATCTTTCCTTTCAGGTGCTAGCCCCGCTCACCGTTAGCGATGTTCTATCATACTACCTAAGGTGTATATATCTAACGGAGATCCTACTAGGGAGGGACAGTTCTCGTTTCCCAATCGTGAGTCTGCTTCTTTTCATGTGATATTGGCATCTCACTATACGCTGTCATTTGATAGATTCTACCTTCGACGCATGTATCTTCGTGAGTTTTCAATCTCAGCATCCTCACCGCTTGAAATAATAATTCATAGTCGGGTCTTGGTATGCTTATGCTGTGATTCCGGCGGTGAGTAGTCTTGAAGGAGCCTATACCTTCATTGGTGCTGACTTGGTTTATAGGGAGTTCTGGTGCTTGGAACTGCTGGCGAGTCGACTGGCATTACCATTTTTATGGATACACTCAAATGGATTTTGCCTCCAGGATTTGCGGTTGGTGAGTATTTCAAGACTTGCGGAGAGTACCGCTAACTGGATTGCTGCTCAATAGCAACCAGCATTGAGATGTTGGTAGGCGATATCCATAAGGTGCCTCACTGAACTAATCTTGTGTCACCTACAGCTTTACGCAGAGAGCTTTTTTGAACTTCGAACATTACACGGTATGTTGCGCAGATAATATCCGGTAAACAAGCCTGTGTTGAATTAATCACCTGTCATAGTGGCTCATGTCGGGGGGTTTTGCCTGCTCGCTCGCAACAGATGTGGTACTTGCGGCCGCATTTATCATATTCCTCACGCGTAGCCGAACGGGCTTTAGACGGTGTGTTCTGGATTCTTCACACTGTCTTCAGTACATTCAGATCGTCACCAGAACAAATTCAGCTCTGAGCGTTATTTTGGTGTACACTGTTAATACGGGTGCGCAGTCTGGCCGCTTGTGTCATCCCTGAGTAGCACTAAATATTCCTGATTCATCAGGATTATTGACTAGGTGCCTATCTACCACGCATACCCAGGGGTATTGATGTTGCTATAATTCTGATACCATGGTCTGACAGCGCCCTCAGCCTGTTGTCACTAGTATTTGTAGGTTATGCAGCGGAACTGAAGTCTTGTCGCATCTCACAACCTGATCCAAGGGAGTAATTCAGCCAGGGAACTTCATCTTCATCGCAGCAAACATGATCGCAACGAAATGTGGGCATAGACATCATCTCGTTTCTCAAACATGAAGAGCTGAACAGCTGTCATAGCCTACGTTAACGCAGTCCTAGCTGTGTATGTTCTTCTAATCTACACTATTACACCGCTCATTGTCTTTGTTGAATTTAGGGCGAACTCACGGCGCACTTTCACAGAGTCGAGCCGGGATTTGGATGGCTTCGGCACTTTTGGTTTGAGCGTGCACCCGCAGCCATCCCAAGGGTTACCTATCCGGATGGAACACTTCAATGCATCTACCTCTTCAAATGCTGAGGGCATCGATCTTCACTTGAAGGCCTTGCCTACTGATTCCCGGCGGAACAATTTGGGCGTTGACTCCGTGATTATCTAAGCACATAGGATATTGCGAGCTCCACACCATGATATTCGGATGCAAATGCTGGTAGGATGTGCTATGAATTACTTGGACGGTATCCTTATGTTCAGTAGACTCTGGGATATGATCTGTACGACACGTGCACACCTAGTGGGTTTATCCCGGTTAATCTGCAGAAAGGTCGACGCCTGTCTTCCCATTCTAAGCAAAGCACGCCACATGACGCCAAGAGACTGAGCATGCCAGAGAGGTTAGAAGAGTATAGCAGAGACAGATGATCCTGTGGAAAGAAGGGAGTCGGTGATTGATCCGTGTCCGTGCCAGTATTGAAAGTACAGACCCTCCGAACAGTATCGTATTCAATGTTAATCCCCGTTCCGGTTTCCCAATAATAGCTATCTCCCCAATCATAAAAAGTATTCTCGAAGGATGAGCTACCCTGCAAGCTGCCACGTCTCCCAGTCGGACTGTATATATGACAGATTACGTGCCGGACGCTTCTCGCCCATCACCGGCGTGTTCTACGATCCGACTCTGCAAACCGCCCCGTAATTGGTGCCTCCTTGTTCCGTCATGCGTCTAATTCTATCTTCTCGCTCGCAATCAATGTGCACGACGTCCACGTTGCGACGCAAGCGTCGTTCATCGAATTGATCCTTGCGCTGTTCTTGTTCCCGGCCCGGAAGCCGCTGACCAACTGGAAGAAGGCCAAGGTGACTGCATCGTCATCACGTTCGAATCACCCACTCCGTGAAGTCCAGTTGTGGAAGAGCCTTTCGGCGCCATTGACTATCCTTGAGTCCGCCCAGTCTGAAGATACTTGTGATCATGGTATTTGATCGTCTGCCCCCATTGGTGAGCAGAGTTACGACGGCCAGCTTGACTGCGGGTCACTTCCGTCCAGGATGCGTTCCCGGAGCTTAAGCACTGAGTGGCACATGTATGTCTGGGGTGCTAAGAAGTTAGCTGGTGCGGATAGTCCAGTGATAGCACGAGTACTAACATTCTGTGTAGCTTATCTCCTATTACATCCCTCATATGGGATCCGTGCGCGTTGCGATTGATCTGTGTCCTTCCTTGTATGTCGCATTCGGTGATATGCCCTGTAATCTTTCTTTATTGTTGCTTTAGCATTGATTCTGACGTCCAAGCCGAAGGAGCCAGTCGCCATCCTAAGTCACTTTTGTAGCAGCCAATGGAGTGCTTTCCGGGGCGACACTGGTCTATGAGAGACTCGTTCATGACATGGTCGTCTCCCATCAGCGGAGGAGCTTGCCCAAGAGCGTGCGCCAGGACATCCAATGGCCAAACAGCCATGAACTCGTTGCTAGCGTGGCAATCTCCGTGTAGGCTCGATCTACCTGAGACCGCACAGTCTTGTTGTGCGACAATTTCCAGCTCGGAATCGAGCTCTGCGTTCATTTTTGGGATGTTCTACCAGGGACGGTAACCCCACTTAGCCAAGAGACGGGAATTGTGCGCATACAGTGTAGATATTGAAGATATTGACTGCTTTCGTCTTTGGATAAGTGTGTGGCAATCTTAGGCTCTTGCATTCCTCTCCTCAATTCTGACATTCCTTCAGTGTCTCCTTTCGAAGCTTCAAACTCTCTCGTAGTCGCAGAGGACCTTCTCTCTGCAGGCGTACTACTAGTGCGAAATAATGCCGGAGTGTCTGATGTACAGCCTCTCTGCAGTTCACTCCGCCTGTCAGAAGCTGAGTCGAGATATAGCTGCAGGGCATACAACTGATAGCAGAAGACATCTAAGGTGTGGTGTCATGGACAGAACAGTTTGTATACTTGGAGACGTCACGGCAACTTGTGTGCTTATCTGGTAAAGCTGTATCGAGAACACCTCCGACGTCACAATATGAGCTTGTGCCACATGCAGAGGTACCATTTCGATTTACGAGACAACCTGACACGTGCATTGTCACAGACGAGCCTATCAACAAATCTCCATAACGTCCCGCTGAACATCGAAGCTTCGTCTAGTGATCTCAGTGCGCTTCTCAGAATCTTCCGACTGTGGATAGGTACTTCCGTTGTGCGATTTTGCTCTGGATGGAGCTGAAGCTGCATATAGTAAACATCACCCATGTGTTACTCCGGATGTTCACTGGAGAATATCGTCACCTACCATGACTTGGGATAATATTGGCACGTAGCTCGATGGAGACTGGAACATTGGGCTTGGTCACCTGAGCTGTGTCATCTTCAGATCCGAATATGTCGGCCCCCATAACGACAGTGCTTGAACGGTATTGAAGTGATCGCCTACTGTTCAGACTGTGAATTCAAGATTTCAACACGCTTTGGCCAAGGTCACGATGACGAGTTGGGGGCATACTTACGCGGCGAGAAGTGCGTTTGCATAAACTGAGCACTCATCAGTAACGAAGTCCTGCGCTTGATAGAGGATTGATGACTGACGCTTGGTCACTACAACAGATATCGCCGTAGCTGGCCCGACAGCTGAAGGTCGCACGGAAAACTGCAAGGAATAGAAGTGTGCATGCTGTAGTAATCCATCCCGGACAACAGTGCACTGACCACAAGAAATAATACGAGCATTGTAGCGCTAAAGGTACGTTCAGTGAGTATCAAGCTGTGTGCATAATTTACTGGAGATAACAACCTTGTAGTTAGCCCTGTTCAAAGCCGCCATGTTTTGAGCACACGTCCACTATCTGTCCATGAATGTGGATGAATACCTGTAGCAATAGAATACAAGATCAAGACGTCAAGCATGGAATCGGTGCTGAGGGGGACGATTCAGCCATTAAGACATTGATGGTGATTTGGGTATACTCGCCGTTTCACTCCGATCCGACTTTTTCTTAGAGCAAGAATGAGGACAGTAGTCAAGATGGTGTCTGCGCAGAACGCCAGACCCGACGCGCATGCTATGATCCACTGAAGTAGATGATGAGATTCCCTAGCTCGAACACTGCATTGAGGGCGATGAGGATTTACTCACCGTCTTATCGACGAAACCTGTGAGTCCTTTGGATGTGTACTGGATTCTGACATCACAGAAAAGATCAGTAACGTTGCTTGGATGCCGGTATCAAAAAACTTACTCCACTACGCTGGACGCTAGCACGGCATCAGTCAGCCTACAGAAATATTTTGATAGCTTGATATCAGGCTCTGTCTTACCAACACAAAAACCTGCATGCGAATCAGTGCTAGACTGAAAAAAAACCCAATGCAGTCTTACCGAATTCTGCCAGCAAGAAGAAGACCTGTCCCAGGCCGCGGCGATAACATTAGCAAAATGTCAAATGAGGGAACACCCCAATACCCACAGCGAGCATCACCCAAACTCTGTACCTCTTTCCAACTGATGCACAACAAACATTAGTAAGGCATAAACTCGATCTGATGCCACTGCATACATATGTACGCTCTGCCAGCGAAAAAGCTGGGATGATTGACTAAGCAATGGTAGCACTCTGAAGGGATTCACGGAGGATGTTACTTACGCTTGTGATATTCCAACAATCAGGCCCTGCGAGGAACAATTAGCCTTTCGGATGCAATATCTCAGCCATCTCTACCGCACAGTCAGAATAGGGAGTAACTATTCATAGGTTTCGTGTTTGAGTGAGAGACACTCCACACGCAGGGGCTGCAAGAAGCGTACCTCCATAGGACTTGGGTGGAGGTATAGAAGGAGGAGTGAGTGTCGATGTATAGCAATAAATGCCGACGAGAGGATCTCACTGTGTTGCGAACTCAAGCTTGACCAGGTTGAGATAGCTAGAAACTAAGTAGTAGTAGCTAACATCGGAGATGATGAGCATGCAATTGCCATGAGCATAACTTGACTGACCATTTGTGGCAGCTCACGGCCATGTGAGCCGTCTCTAGCGCACTGTAAGATATCAGCTCTCGCAGAATGTGTCGATTTAATTATGGTGGCGACTGACACTGTGGCATATACCTAGGCAGGATGAGGTGTTAGACCTGATATGTTACCAGCCATCAAGCGATCTCCGCCTCACTGCAAACTTTATTTCTCTCCTATCCGAGGGATACATACTGATGTATCGATACGTTTGGTGCACCACGATCCCATAGAGGCTGCCAAAAATGATGTTCAGCTTCAGTCAAATTGAATACAGGTGGAATGTTCACGCACAAGAGGCCAATGAACGTTCCAATCAGTAGAGATCCAAACGAGCTGTCAATGGATATGTGCGGGAGTATACTCGCTGGAGGTGAGACCGAGGACATGGTGGAAATAAGCAGACCTTCCCTTGACAGCCACCCACAAAATTTCCCCAATGTTATATCCTGTTCTAAGTATCCTCCCCTAAGAATAACGCAGCGCCACGCTCTATACCACGATAGGTCCAAATGCGATAAGAGAACGGTGATACATGATGAGGGCGTCCTTGGATTTGAAATTCCTCTGTAGGTGTGAGTATCCAGGATGTCTTGAGAATCTTCGAAGTTAGCCCTCGTGAGGGCAGAGCTGTGGTAGTAGTAACACCAACAGGGGCCTCAACATCAGATCCCAGCGTAGCGCCTTCGAGTCGGCGCTACTCTCCCGAAAACGTGTAGTCGTAGTGACATGATTTTCCGCAATCGCATACAACGTGGCATACAACACTTCTCTCAAGACGGCCAGCGCTCAAGCGTCGAGTGATGGAGGCAACTCGGGCATAGACTGCAAATAGCATGTTGAAGGGAGGTCGGCCTGACCACCCTGTTTGTGGGTCCACTGTGGAATCATCTTTCTCAGTGATACACGGCAGGGTCATCACAGCGCCGACGCCGACGCCTCTGCTTCCATTATGATCGAACATGCGCCTGATATGAACAGATTTGAGACTCACCTATCTGCTGTCATAGATTAACTGGGAAAAGTACTTGTATTCGGAGGAGCTATTAGACTCTCATGCATGACCGCGCAGTGATGAGCCTGCAATGCGCCTATTTGCACTCGCGGTGTTTGTCACAATCGATGACTCCTGAAATCATATAGCCTGTATGCTCGCACGCAGAGCCTGGTGGTGTAAGATCCATGCTCACGCTCGCCTGTTACCCACAGCGCTGCCCAAGGGCGCGAGGCTCCTGTTAAGATCTGAGTGAGCGCAACAACTGTATGGCTGCTGCGGACCCGTCTAAGAAGTCAGCTATTGTGTAGAAGCCGCACGCGGGCCAGACTCACGAAAGCGGCAGCATTCGGGACTGGCTATACGACTAGTTGCCGCGCTCTACACTGGGTCGATCAAAACTAATACCCGCTCGTCTCCCCCTCTCCCACCAAATATGGACAGGCTCTCTTCGTCTGAGCAAAGATATCGAGGTGCTTTGGTGCTGTTCAAGCTGTCAATAGCCGCTCGCTGTGCGTCCTGCAGTCGCGTGGCAAAACAGACACTGAAAAGATGTTCGGCGCGTTCTCTCTGGTCCAAGCTATTGCTCAAACGATTGTAGGGATGCGGTTCAAAGTTTGGGATCCAGAAGGTTTCAACCATGCCAAGGTAATATTATGAAGTGGCCAGTGCATGCGTGCGTCGTCGGGAATGGTGACCGAAGCTAGCTATTGCGGCAGCATCGGTATCTTCAGTCTTGAGATAGTAGATACGTGAGGAAATCAATGTCATGGAAACCATGAAGGTGTACTTCCTTTTTTCCTAGTTATATACAGCGTATAAGATATATGGATATGGAACCGAGGACATCATACTGGAGAGTAGGAGCCTTGTATGCGCATATAAGCGGAACAATGGTGATGGGCAAATGAACCCGGATGGACGACCCTGAACCCGAGACCGTTGAACAAAGAAGATGAATGTAAGGGCAAAGGATACCTTTATGTCCAAATGCCATGCATGCGCAGTGATATGGCACGCGTGCACAGGGTATCATCGCGGGAGAGAGCCAGAGACAAGGCCAGGGCACTCTAGCAGTGGAGAATTGGCGAAGTCAGAGCTGCTACGATTTCCAGGGAGATACGTGCATGAGATGCTGCCATTCGTGGAATTTCTGAGCGGTAGGGACTTTACCCTCTACCCACGTCGACGCGGCCTTCGGCGACTGTGAAACGACGTTGACCGGCGTGCCCATCGCCCTGCTGCATACGGCCATAAACGAGTGTTCCTTAGCCGTTGAAGACTTCGCGACATGGAGGTCGACATAGACGACTCAGGAGTATCAGGAGTCCTGGGGTGCGTATATCAGGTGTGCGTAGGGAAGGCCGCATGCATGGACGAAGTGGACAGTCTGCGCTGTCAGCGTGTAACTGTTAAAATGAACAGATGTTGAACATGAGATCTGGGCGGTGCGTGACGTCTTGGAAGGAGGCGAATGGGGGACTGCACGGTGCCTCCTGTCCCATACATACGACTGACAATGTACCTGGGCTTCGAGCGAGCGTCCTCTGCATTGCAGAGAGAGCTTGAGGGGCAGAAGTATACGCGAAGCAGAGATGGCTCGCAACCATGAGATGACCTGAGAGGGAAAAGCAGTATCAAGGCGAGGCAAGGTCACAATGAAAGAGGGATGTAAAGACAAAGAGAAAGAGGTCGACACCATGGAAGTGTTACCTACTAGATACAAGAGGAGATACGCCTTGGGCGAAAGGACTTTAACCCTACGACGATCGCACAACCGAAAACCAGGAGCGAAACGGGCCTGTCAACAAAGTAAATGTGCTCCAGGGGACACAGCAACGTAAAGATGCTCAGTTGAGAAGTCAAAAATTAGAGAGAAACACGATCACTGTGGACGATCTATTGCGATGCAATGTAGGAGTAGATGACAGTAAAAGGTAGTAGACAGACTCCGAAGCTAAGGTGTTCAGAACATGGTCGCAACTCACCTTCACGATGACCTGACGCAGTCCGTCTCTCACAATCTCCATTCGTTGTCAAACCTCCACCATCAATACATTACTGCTTTCGATGATATCTTGAAGGATCAGGTTGCTCGGTCGAGACTAAAAAGGGAGGAGGAAACAGTGCGAACGTGGAGTTACATAAGCATTCATTCACGGCAGTCGGCGAATACCGGCGTTAACAGTATCAACGATCGGTCCAAAACTTCATGTATCCTAGCCTCGTCTATTGTATCTCTGGCTATCTGGTACTCCTACTTGATATCTAGCTCGGGCTGCCTTGAAATACACGTCGACTGATGATTCTGGAACTCCTACGAACTGCCAGTGTCCCCAGAGTCTTTTTGAAGGAAACTCGCCAATACCGCTCTTATCCGCGCCTGTCCTCCGTTCTACCGCCAAAGCAGAATGTGCTGCAGGCTCTCCCGCGGTCATCAACGATACCTCAAGTCGTCTTCGACTCCGGAGAATCCCTGAGACGAGCGATCATGGTGCGCTTCGCCGATCGCCGTCGATTGTGTATCGATCGGTTCATTGTCCAGTACTCGGCCCCTTCGTCGGCACGTTGGTTTACAATTGGCAGATGGGATAGCTAGTAGCAACAAGGATGACGGCCTTGTCTCGTGTTGCAGCCCAGGTATGTTCTCTTGGAATTTACATGACGGAGGTATTTCCACGCTACGCTCCTTGTCCACCTCAGATATTGCACTGCGTGTCATTCTCTGTGTATTGCAGCCGGGTAGTCCATACCCAGCCGATGCACGACTCCCGTCTCCCGCGGAGGTGACACGGAGCCGCACTCTATGCTTGCTATCCATTCAATACACGCGTGATATATATCTTCATACATTGCACGAGGACGCAGGCGGCCTCCTGAGGAAACATGTTTCAATGCTTAGAGCCTTCTAGTACTAGAACAGTCGGCCCACGAGAGACTTGCAAGAGGCAAAATCCGTATTTATGGAGGGCTCACAATCTGATCCGTTATATGTCAATCATGCGGCACTTCGTGAGATTTCCGCGATATCAGAACGGACATCTCAGCTTCGCGACTAGGCAAGTAGCGTGTCGCTTGTCAGGCACCCACGCTTGTCCCTCGCGCCCACAGCCACGGGCAGCTACTAAGGCTGGTGTGACCCGTTTTTCTTCCATCGTCGCCCGCCCGTCCCATTGCCTGCTCGCTCACCCCCACCCTCCCTCGTACTTTCAGGCCACCCGCCAAGCATGGTACAGTACGAACTTCTATCTGGGATAGATGCGGGACTTTTGGTGGGGACGCTCTGGTTATATGCTGCCTATAAGGGCGCATCTATGGTATACCACGCTTATTTCTCCCCGCTCTCTGGGATCCCTGGCCCATGGTACGCTGCTATCTCTGATATATACACTCTGGTCGTCGCGGCCCGCCTGGTCCAGTGCAACACCATACATTCGCTCTTCGAACGCTATGGACCCATCGTCCGGATCGGCCCCAGGAGAGTTGTATTTTGCGACCGGATCGCCATGAAGAGTGTATATTGTATTCATAAGTTCGAGAAGAGTACTTTCTACAAGGCGTTGGTTGCGTACGTAACTTCTTCTTCACAGTCATACCAAATGTACTGAAGTACCATTTTACAGGGATAATCACGACCATTCGTGAGTCTCTGCTAATGCGCGCGCTGCTCGATTTGCTGAACCCCTACCAAGTATGACCTCGCTCTCGGAGGTTGAACATACTGCGAGACGCAAGACATTCGCATCTCATTACGCAATGGGTCATATCGTCGGATTTCAGCCCCATATTCACCAATGTGTCGCCAGGTTGATTGAGGTAAGTTCGATGATTTAGCACACGAAGCAATGTGGATGGATCTTCCTTGGTTACAGGTCCTAGATTCCAATTCACACGAATCGATGGACTGCATTCATACCCTCCGCCATCTTCTGGTCGACATTATCCGATGTACTGTCTTCGGTCTGGGTCCTGTCGCGCTTGACGACTTGGCTCATAATGTGAAGAATCCCATTTGCGATGCCGCACGAGACTTTTTTCTTCGAGCTATCTCGGTACGTGGTCGAGCGCCAGTACCATGATTATCTCTGATGACATTGTCTCCTCCACCAACAGCATAGCGCGATACCGTCCGTTGCCTGGTCGGCTCTTGCTTATCTCCCACACCCTCGCTGGCAAGAAATCTATCGTGCTGATAACATCCTAGCATCAGTATGTCTTCTAGAGTTTGGTGCAATATTGTGTATGATGTGACCCCCTCGATATAACCCCCTCAAACGGTCTAGTTTGTCAGGCAACGTCTGTATGAACTTCGAGCCGAAGCACATCTGTCTAGTGTCGACGCCAGCCCTCATGACAGCCCAACGCCACTGATGATACGCATGGTAGCGCAACAGCTGTCAGGTTTCAAGGACGCTTTATCTGACCAAGACATCGTGTCAGAATGCATCTCTCATCTGTAAGTCTCATCTCATTTAGCTCAGCCACGACGTCTGATATATGTCTTTCCAACTGCACATAGCGTTGCCGGCGTGGATACCTCCGCTGCCACAATCGGTTTCATGCTCTGGGAGCTCAGTCGCCGTCCCGATATACTGCAACGTCTGCGCGATGAGCTTGACGACGTCATCCCTGACCGCAGAGCGATTCCCGATTATACTACCCTCGCGAAACAGCCGTACTTGACCGCTTGTTTAAATGAAGGTGCATTGCTATCGGTTCCACATTTACCAGCTAATGGTGATGGCAACTGTGTGGTATATACTGATGGTCTCAATCTCCCTTGCGGTGCAGGTTTCCGGATGTACGGCGCTGTATCAGCCTTGCTCGAGCGCGTCGTGCCCGGTAAGGATGCCTCTGGCGTTTGTACGGACTCTTTCGACATCCTAGGCTTCCAGTTGCCTCCTGGCACGATCGTTGGCACCCAAGCATGGAGCATGCATCGCGATCCGGACATCTTCCCCTGTCCGGAGCTATTCCACCCCGAGCGCTGGCTTCCCTCCGAGAATTCGGACTTCCATGATGCAGACCGACTGGCCAGGTAAGTGGCCCTCTGTTCTCGCTCCCCTCTGTAGAGTCTCTTTGACATACACGACTCCTTGCTCATCTTTGTCTTCACAGGATGTCCCAGTACCTGATGCCTTTCGGAGCGGGTACGCGCGCATGTCCTGGGCGCTACCAGGCACAGCTCATCTTCCGAGCAACTCTCGCGGCGCTCGTCCTGAACTTCGATCTGTCCGCAAACCCGGTAGAAACAAATGCGGACACAATGGCGCCCCGCGATGCATTCGTGAGTGTTCATCATGGGCGCATTGCGTCTTCTTACTCTTGTCCCGTGTCAGATGGTTCAACCAGCTTCTCGAGAGTGCAGGCTGATGTTTTCACCGCGCCCTCAGTAACAGTTGTATTTGAACGCAAGGCCCTGTATTAATCTGTACTTTAGAAGCTATCCCTGTCCGCCGCGACCTTATTGGCTGGGTTGCTCGGCCGGCTTCCCGATCCGCCCAACCTACAGATTTCCCGGAAACGAGCATGCAAATTGTCGATATGGGGCTCTGTACTTTTGTTATGACAACTTGACACGCCTATCATCATCAGCTTCACCTCAGAACAGAGTGACTCACTTGCGCCGCCCATGCGCATGAGGGCGAGAGGCGGCGCTGATTGCACGCCGGCAGAGGATCGGAGTGATCTAATATGACTGAATCCTCCCAAACAACGTACACGTGATTCTTGTGCTGCAAAATTACAGCTATTCAAGCCTATACAGAGACATCATGTGGTGTGAAGTTCTAGATCCCATAGCTTCGCAGATACTGCCGCCAAACGCTCAAGGCTCGAACCAGCCTGACGCGCTGTCAGAGGGACTCGCGGTCGTCCGATTTATCATCGGCGTGGGGGAGAAGCGGGCCGCCCTGGGCCCCATGTCCGTGCCCGTGGGTGGAGCTGGGGATGTCCACGAAAGTCTCTGTCGTCACTTTGATGTCAATGACCGTGTCCGCGACCTGTCGGCACGCAATGCACGTTCCAGGTTCGGTGTGAGAGAGACGTACAGAGGATTCGGCAGTTGTAGCACCACCGGTGCTCACCTTCAGGTTCGGAGAGTTCGGGTTCATGCTCTGTCGCGGCGCCGGGGAACGAAGGGGCGCCTTGAAGTCCATCGGACGCATATCGCGAGGGTCGATGATCTGAAGCCCAAACGAGCCCGTCTCGAAACCCTCCAAGCCCCTATCTATGAGCGAGCGGCGAGAGTTCAGCCTGAACACATTAATTGAGATCAATGCGCGTGCCACTGCTCTTAGGAGGACATTCTTACACAGCTAGTAGCGAGTTGGCATACACTGAGAAATTATACAACGAGACTTAGCGAGGGCAACGGGAGATCGGAAATCAGCCACTCACTCTTGGACGCCACGACGTAGATTGAGCTCCACAACAGGTTTCCGGGCATTGAAATGGACTGGACGAGAAAGGCATTCAAGAAGGCTGTGCGAGTGTGGTAAGGAGGTTCACTTACACATATCATGGCCGGGATCGTGAGCATGCTCGTAGAAAGGCCTTCGTAGTAGTGCTCAGCAAACATGGCCAATATTTCTGAAGTGAATCTCACCCGTATTGATGGTGTACACCATGAGAACCTCGAGGATGTTGTCGGTTCTGATGAGGGTCAGGGTCAAATTCAACGTCAAGAGGCGGATGTTTACTGATGATGGTGCGTACCTTTTGAAACCTGTTCTGCTTTTCCAAAGGTAGAACATAAGGAATCCGGTGACTACCACGTCAATCAAGACCGCATTTGCAAGCAAGACCCAGATCATCCACTATCTTCAAGTTAGCTCCTGGTATAACAGAAGTATATGGCTGTCGCATACCATGTGGCTCTTGAATCCGCCGAATGTAACAAGGATGAAACTGCGAGATTGAGGTCAGCGGGGTTTGTTGGACAAAGTCCGAACCACTCACGTCATGGCAGTCACAGCTGTATACATAAACTCAGTCAGCCAGCGTTAGCGAAGGAGGATCGTGGAGCTCACCAATGGCAAATGCTGAAGTACATTTTCAGAACTTAATGCAATGAAAACGCCGGGCACTGATGCACGTACCAAACTCAGATATCATGAGTAAACCCTACGTGATCGTGTCAGGAGACCGCATGGTTCAGAAGGAAATGACCAGCGCACGATGATAATGACAGGGAAGATGCGCCTGCCGCCCACTGTGCGATGAGGTCAACAAAATGGACATCGTAGAGGCGAGGAGAGATCATGTTACGTACATAGGAAGATGCGTCGTAAGAAGAACCTATGGATGGTCAATACTTTAGTTGTGATACCCGGAGATGAACGACTGATACTGACGAGTGCGAGATCAGCATCACGAGAGCCTATCACAGCCGTATGAGCCGATCCATCTGTTCGGATATGAGGGACTGTTTACTTACTGTCTCTGTTATGGAAATCTTCCGAGAACATGATAAGGTTTGCGGAATCAAATATGCTGAACGCCACGTACTCGTAAAGACCTAGGATGTCCTCCTGAGTATATCACGCAGGAGCTAGAGATAGAGAACGACGCTTACCAGACACCTGAGCCCAAAGCAGACGGGTTCAGATAATTTAGGACCAGATAATAGTAACTGCAGGAGATAGGTGAGCCACGGGTGTATTATTAGAGCGTGACATTACCATAGGTGTATGTTCGTGATAGTGTGCATTGTATCCAATATCCTGAGTCGCGAGTTAGCCAGGAACTAAAATGAAATGCGCGGTACTGACAGAAGTGCTACGACCTTGGTCCGAAAAATTAGCGTTGACCTGTGTCTAATAAGAGCAAGCTCACCAGCATCTTCATGGACTTTCCATCGTTAGGATACAGACGGAAATATCGGTACGTTTGGTGGGTTGTCAGACCAAACAACCTAGGTTAGAGTGAGCCAACTTATCGAGACAGGAAAAGACATGCTCACATGCAGGCTACACAGGCACATATGAGCCAAGCCCCAAAGGTGTTGTGAAGCTCATCCTGGATGAAAGCTGCCAATGCCGCGGGTAAAGGGGGAGGGCTCGTAGTCATGACGGGGATGTAGTGCCGCAGATGTCCAGAAGGTCGCATGATAAAGATGAGGTTCTTAAGAAGGGAACCCCCCCGGTAGTACACCACCAAGTGTTCCTATCATCTCAGACAGATTGCGAGCATGTGCGCTCGATGATGGACATGGGCGCAAAATTCGGCGTACCGCCGGTCAGGAAGTGTTTTGACACTTCACAAGATAGGGTTGTGGGTGTGGCAAAACTCTTGTGGGACTGGCACGCTATACGACTGCAACCTGTGACAAGGCAATCGAAAGCAGGGACTGATATCATGGTTGGTTTGGGCGGTGTCGAAGCCATTTGACCCGGGCTTCACCTATATTAGGGCGCAGCCGAACAATCGCCCACACCATCAGGAACATGTCAGATTGTAGAAGTTCGAGGGCAAGCGGGCACAAATGGGATTCGCGTTTGGCCGGTGCAAACGCGTGCCGTACATAGTACATACAATAGACCTTATATACACAGTAGAATAGGGGTAGATAAGGGCGCGGGTATCCGTCGGGGGGCGGGACCTGTGGCGCTCGTTCCGCGAGCTCGCCATCTTGACGCCAGGATTCCAACACATCCCCTCGAGCGAGCGCGGGCAACGAGCGAAGGGTAACAAACAAATTGAACGGGGCGGGGATAAGGGAAACAGCGAGCAAGGAAGGAGGGGTTGTGTCCGCACAAATAAGGGATAACGTACGATAAGTCTAATACATCCCCTTAATCGGGGCGTTTACCACGCTTCCGTCTCCTTCTCGGCAAGAAGCCGATCGGCGCTAACGGTTGCCGAAAACGCGTAATGGGCCTCTTCAGTCTTAAGCTCGGGGCAGTCGCGCTGATA